AGAAGATAGAAAGAAGACATTCTTATCAGTTATGATTGTTTTAAGGAAAGAACAAGAAGAGGATAGAGTAGTAATTCTCTCATTTTCTTAGTTTTTAAGTAGGAGTGGATATTTTGGAATTGACCATAAATTAAAAGTTAAATTAGCAAAATATGAAGATTTGGAGTAATTTTAGAAGGGTTAATTGCGGATGGTGAAATTTTTTGACCCTTTTCAACGGGGTTCTGTATGCAGCAATAGATTACACTCAGGGGGTCTATGCAAAAATAAATTTCTTTCTGGAGATTTATCTGCAATAATAGAACTATTGGATATCTGCAATAATAGAACTATAGGGATAGTAGATTCAATTTGGCGATAGTACAGGTGTCTACCTGCAATTAATCCTCTTAAAATATCAAAGATTTTTGGAGATATACAAGTAAGAGTTCTTCTAAGCCTGACCTCTCTGCATATCTGTTGAGTGTTCTCAGTACTGAACAACTCTGTATCAATGCAGATATCCTTCTTTTGGACGTGGCGCCCCTTACTCTTGGTATCGAGACCGTCGGTGGGGTGATGACCAAGTTGATCCCAAGAAACACTGTGATCCCAACCAAGAAATCTCAAGTCTTCACTACTTATCAGGATCAGCAGACCACCGTATCTATTCAGGTACGAAATGTATACGCTGTCTTATACCAAAACATGCACATCTGCATTTACGATATCTGAAGGACATCAATGCTGTTGTTTTTGTTATAGGTCTTTGAGGGTGAGAGGAGCCTCACTAAGGACTGCAGATTGCTTGGAAAGTTTGATCTCTCAGGAATCACGCCAGCACCTCGGTTTGTACCCTAACACACTCATATTAACTTATAAGGATATGCAAAAGAATTGTGGGTTAATTGCACAGACACCCCCTAGCCTTGAGCTTACTAGCCCTGTAGTTTCATTTTTGCAAATAGAATCCCAAGGTGAATTTATTAACTCTGTTAACTTGGGTGTAATTTTGGCTGATACTGTGCCCTTGTGTGAAATTAGCTAGTTTAATTGAGGGTTAAAGAGTTAAAAATTTCATCCAAGGGGGTCTATCTACCACAGTGAGATTAAGGGGCCTTAAGTTAAAATCAATGATTCCACAGGGGTCCATGTGCAATTAACTGATGAGTTGTATAAAGTTATTTGTTCTGTAACTGAATTTTAAAACTACTATAATTATAGAATGGGTTAATTTTTGCATGGACATCTTGAATTCAATTTGGTTGCAAGTTGTTTCTGTTAAAAAAAATGACCCTATTTTGGATAAAAGGCAGTGGCAACAAAACAAATATATCTAACCAAACAGCCCTTTACTTTTACTGTTACATAGTGTTTATGCTTTGCTCAAGTCTCTGCGACGTCTACTGATACAGGGGCACACCACAAATCGAGGTCACATTTGAGGTTGATGCCAACGGAATTCTAAACGTGAAAGCCGAAGACAAAGGCACTGGCAAATCCGAAAAGATCACCATCACCAACGAAAAGGGCCGCCTATCCCAAGAAGAGATCGAGCGAATGGTTCGCGAGGCTGAAGAGTTCGCTGAGGAGGACAAGAAGATCAAAGAAAAGATTGATGCCCGCAACCAACTGGAGACCTATGTGTACAACATGAAGAACACCATTGGCGACAAGGACAAGCTTGCCGATAAGCTCGAGAGCGAGGAGAAGGAAAAGGTGGAGGCGGCTCTTAAGGACGCCTTGGAGTGGTTGGATGATAACCAGAGCGCCGAGAAGGAGGATTATGAGGAGAAGTTGAAGGAGGTTGAGGCGGTTTGTAATCCGATTATTTCGGCTGTTTATCAGAGATCCGGTGGTGGGCCTGCTGGTGGAGCCGAGGGTGGCGATGACGACGATGATTCTCATGATGAGCTTTAGATGAGAGGCGTGGAGGGGCTTCAAGTTTTGTAGTGAGTGGGGGACGAAATGGTAGTCCCCTGGAGTATATTCCTAGTATTGATTTTTCCCCCCTTCGTATAATGTTGAGAAATGGATACTTTGTTGCTTTTGTAATTACTTTGGCATTTCATGTTTTATCGAAGTAAAATTTAGAACAGTGATCAAAGTTTTGTTTTCGTTTCTTTTCTCATGTTCCCCCCATTACTACAGAAACATATCACGTTCACATTGAACATGCAGAGGAAGGATTGTAGGTAATACCTCAGCCTTTAACGTACGAGTCTAAGTAAGTCATAAAGATCGATCAAAAACCAATCGAACGAGTCTAAATAAGTCAACACACGAGTCGTGGTCGATTAATCGGAAAACTAGTTATCGAACAAATACGAATGAAACAAACGTGCATGAGCTTGTAACCTATAGCCCCCTACTGTAGAAAAGAGGGTGCTATTCCTGTCAGTTATGCTCATTCATTTACGTCAACTGATAATTTCATAATGATGTTTGAGCACTAGACAAAGAAAAAACGAAATTACGTATCATGACGATAAATTGCCACAGAACGCCACAGTGATGATCTGATGAGAAATTCCCCATCAGAATTTTAGTACTAAATAGATGATCACGAGGACATCTTGCAAATACAATCAGAAATCACCCTGTTACAGCAGTATAGTCTTTAGGTTAAAAACAAAAACAAAAACAAAAAACAAAATTCACTTGTGCTATATTGAATGATACGTGAAGTATGTCAATTTTCAGAATTTCCCCATGAAGATTTTGTTTTGCTATGACAATATGAAAGTCCACGAAGAACTGCAGAGATCGTTTGGGGAGTTACCCTCTTCATCTTTCAGATTAGTATCAGCATTGTATTTGACGAGCAATTCAGCGATGGCCTCTCTCTCACAAAGAACGGCATAATGCAGAGCTGTTTGACCCTCATTATCCTATCCAATAAAGAAACAAAAATTAGAGTAAGCAATTTGTATCAAAAGTGATCTCATGGACTAACAAACAGCTAATATGGTGTCAGGATGCATTCATTGATTAACATTGTATTCCATGGGTGACTGGCACAGAGATAATTTCCATCAAATTGCTTCCACTTACAAAAAATTAGGTGTCCACACCAATAAATAAAAGGTGCACTGAGTGTGTCATCAGGATCCATGGACATGCGAGTATAATTCTCTTTATATCTTTCTAGGACATCTCCTGTTCAGACTAAGTACCTTATGGACAATATAACTTGAAGAAAAGTGAACTTTTCAGTTACCTCCTTTTCGTTTATTCACGTAAAATAAATTAGGACACATATACTACCCTCTGATATAAAAATTTAGAGGCAGCAGCAACTAGGGCAAGTGTAGGGCAAGTGTAGGATAAGACCATTACCCTACACTTGCCCTAGTTACTGCTGCCTCTAAATTTTTCAGATTAGTATCAGCCAACTGCTTTATCCTTACCCTAAATGCGTCATTCAAAGGATTTAACCTATCCTGCTCTAACTGATAAGTAACTCCACCATTCAGAATAAAGGTAAAAGCTCAATACTTGCATGAGCTATAATTGGCGGGATGGAGGATCAACATCCTTTGAGTTTGAGCTAACTCCAAAACCTGTCCTGAACTTAATTGAGGTTGCAACTTCAAGCTGTAAATGCCTCCTCAGTTGCAATTACATGCGTCTTGGATTCATAGTGACCTCATATCAATGATTACAAAAAAATAGTGCATGCGAGTGTTTTCTGTGCGCATGCGCACGTGTAAAAGAACTATTTTCCTAAAAAACACATTGACAGTATTGTAAAGCAACAAAAACAAAAAATGAATCCATTCCTAAGCACAGCACCATGAAACATGTTTCACTGTATGGCTTCAAAATCTCAGTCAACAAGGAAGAAGCTTATTTCGGGGGTAATTTATGGTCTAGAGTTACACGCGTATGCTATATGTGTTTTCACCCATTACAAAAGTAGCTATTCGTTCCAAACACAACTGATAGTATCTTATATGTTTATCAACTTAAAAAACATTATTCAAGGTCAGAACATATATAATCTATCACCATAAATAATTTAAAAGCTAGCATGTTTCTGCACATATAAAAATAATCACTGATCAAAATATAACTACAACAAAATATTTAAACATGTTTTATGCTGAACTAGATTATGCCCATCGCTTTCATATCAACATGTATGATCAGTTAATTATGTACAGATCTATTAATTACTTCCACAAGTCAATTGCATACCTTCGCATTCACGTCGGCATTCTTTTTCAGAAGTAACTCGACAACATTATAATGGCCACGGTCTACAGCCCAATGCAAAGGTGTCCTCCCTTCACTATCTGCAAGCAATACCAAACAGCCTTGTGAAAGTTGATACTATCATACTAATCACCAAAAGGAATGTAATTATAGATAAGGAATGCAATTATAAATAATAATAGTAGTTTCTTGTATACTGTTCCCTCCATCTATAGCTTCTACATTAATGGAAAATGAAAAAAAAAACAGAAAAACAAGAATAAACATACTAATTTGGAGATGTGGTTTGAAGCATGAAAACAATGGAGGATATATAACACAATAATGGGACCGAAAAAATAAACTAATGACAATTCTAAGTTAAATTATGCATGCATTAGTCTCTCAAGAGAAATTACATGCCTGAGTAATATATCAAAATTATCGCAATACATAATTGCACAAATAGTGCCTGCTTTTGTCTCTTAACAGAAACAAAGTGCCTGAGTATATACATTAAAATTATCCCAATACGTAACTGCAAAGAAAACCAATTGACTCATATTTACATCTAATGACCTAAATAAGAGGAAAAATGATAATAATAAAGGAGACTGGACTAAGTAAAGATTTGATCATCAAATCAAGTCGGGCAATTCTCATACAAGATAACTATATATTAACAGAGACATAGTGACTTTGAATATTAAATAGAAAGAAATTAAAGCAAGCAATGAACAAAAGATCTAGTTTAACTAGTGACAGGCAAAAGGGAAAACCTCTTGAATTTACTGGTATCCCATTTTCAATATGCCTAACTAACTTTTCAGCTTCTCCTTCTCTGGCACAAACATGTATGGCGTCCAGCTTTCTGCGAACAAGCAGTTCAAGTATAAATGATTCAGTGACCAAATAAATGACATAACAAAAGTGGAGTTCCACAATCATAAAAAGGGAGTATAGTAGGCTAATTTGGCATTCATAATTGACAACCTACTTATACTTTATGTTGCCTTTTGCAGATATTGCTATTTCAAAAGGTCGGCTTTTGTACTATACATTATAATTTTGTGTTTAACATTCTTCATTGTATGAACATAAAATTGATACTAGGATCTCAGACTAACAAATAGTTTGCACAGGCTGTAGTCCAATAATTGCTTTCGAACACCGACACCGGGACCGTGGTCAATTAAGATTAAATGAAGAACACTTTCTACGTGTGGATAGCAACTAAGCCATTAGAGAAGCACCAACCCTTTCAGGAATGCTGAGATAGTCCTACACTACAGGAAGACATGTAACTATATAGATGTGTATGTACATAACAGAACACAGACCTCTGCTGAATAGTGGCATACAATTGCTTAATGAAGAGAACTGTAATAATATATACAAGACAATAATACGATAAGCAAACAGATAATAGCTGAAAATAGAAAAGACAACCCATTATTTTAAAGGCATGGCATCCCTAAACATGAACAAGAGAAAAAATACAATAAATTATCATGCTATGAGCATGATAACCAGAGGATATCAGCAATATCAACAATGGAACAACTGTATCGCTATATTAATACTTCAGTTGATACTTGAGAAATATTCTGGTTGCAGTTAAGAACCTTACAGATCACTGTCTGAATCTTCTTCATGAACAAAACTGCTAAAAACTGGTCCCATAGGGCCTTTTGCAGCATTGCCAGAATCACTTGCATCTACATTTTTCTTTTTCTAATAAATTCTCACACGGATTAGAAGGGGGGAAATTTAAACACAGATTCCAAAAAGACCTTGCACCATCATAACAAATGGAGAACCGTGAAGACAATTTGGAAGAGAGTACTCACACTAGTTGAAGCATCTTCCCAAGATGGATAAATCTCACTGATAATTGCAATATACTTCTCCATTGCTTCTTCTGGAGGCATAGCACCAAGTCTATGCCAAGCATTCCTTGCATATCACCAAAATTTTGATATCATCTATCAGTCAAATACATCTGATACCTTATAAAATTATAACACTATATTGCATGTGTATCCGCCTGTGCGTGAGCATGTACAGTCAGAAGTGCATCTCTGTGTAAGTTTTAATGTGTTGACCTCTTACTGTAATGTGGAAGTTAAAATGGTTTGACCTCTGAATATAACAGCTGTCAGCCATGGTTTAACATATTATGAATGCGCTAAGTACTGGAAGTAATCAGCCACGGTTGACTATACTATGGTAACGGATCGCAATGTATTGCAGAATTTGCAATCATCTACCGCACCTGATGGTTAATTCTTCTCTTTTTTATTGATTCATCTACTCCAGTTAGGACCAACTTCAGATCTTGATCGATCCTTGTTGACCAGTTGGTACTAGATTTGCAAGTAATCGGGTCTAGTTTATCAATGCCAGTTATACAACACCTATTTTGTGTGCAATGCCATAGGAACCTTTTAAACCTCCACAGAGTGTACTTAGTGCCATGACCAGTATGAAGTAACTAACAGGTGAATATTTCACTTGTTGAGCCAAACGGCAAGTTTATTAGGGTAATAGACTTAAACTCCACATATAATTTAGTTACATTCCCCATCAACCTTATTGATCCTATTGAAGGAAGCAGGAATACAGTTGCCTAAACAGATTAGCATAATCATGATCTTTTCTCTACCCGGCTCTTCTTGTCCATCTCACTCCTACTTGCTTTTGCCATATGTGATCTGATAACTAGGCAAGAAGACCATATCCCGCGACGTATGATTTGGTGGAATACCCTCAAGGATATACATAGTTCCCGAAGTCAAAAGGTTCAATGGAGTTGGAAAACAAAAATCAACTTCTCGCACACTTCAGAGCTAGTTGTGGAATACATGAGGAAATGACATTCTGCTGACCCGGTAAGTGGGGACCTAGAACTAGAACTGACATCTAGTTACCTATATATCATTTCTTGCACTTAGCTTACTTAATCCCATAGTATGGGGCACTCAGTTCACAGCAATATAGACATGCCCATCATCAACATCAACATGCAACAATGGTACTGCCAACCGCAGTACAATTTCTATCTAAACGACGCCCACAACAGCACAATTATTGTAGTACAGCACATACCACTTAGCCCGAGCCGAAACGTTAAGAATCGAAGGCTGTGCTTTGGTGCACGGCCCCTCGGTTGCAATCTTGTAAAGCCCATACAACTCCAACTGCGATCGAAACCTTCGCCGAGCTCCGGTCCGCCGCCGTCGCCGCAACGAAGGCCGTGGCCGCACTGAACAGCTCGTCGAGCTCCGTGCTCTCAACCCCCTCCCAGTCATCGTCATCTGAGGCCCTAGCCTCGTCGTTAGCTGACGCTTTCTCGTCTGAAACCCTAGAACAGGGTTCGAGGTTGGCCGATTTAGGTTTCGGCTCGGGCGTCTGTGAGATCGGATCGGACTCTCTGAAGGAGATGGCGGTGGAGATGAGCTTCGCGATGAGGAAGGAGAAGGTGAGGCCGATGAAGATGGCTTGGACGAGCTCTTGCCAGTCTCCCATGGCGGAAACCCTAGAATTTGGGGGATGAAATGATCGCTGATGCGATTTGGATTGGATTAATTGTTTTCGATGATGATTTTGTGATTAATTTGAGCGGTTACGTGTTTGGTGATGTTTTCTACCTTCTCGATTCATTTATTATTGTGACGTCTGGTGATGTTTTATATTTTCGTAGTAGAAAGTTCGTTCTTGGTATCCCTCAAGGACTTGATCTCTTTCTTTTCTACTTTTCTTTTTTTACTAGTATTTAGACCCGTGCAAAGCACGGTTTCTAAAAAAAATTTAAATATTGAACATGTTACCAAAATAAAGTATTCTGTTTTAGTCTTTTAGATATGAAGTATATGGGTGCTATTTGTTTTTTTATTATTCGTTCAGATATTCGATCAAGTGTGATTCAATAGTTCATTTTGTACTAAGCAAATAATTTTTAGTGTTTGGTTTATAAATGAATAGAATTTAACCAAATGTATGTTTGATTCGATAGTTCATTAACTATTCGCTTCGATAACTTTTTAATAGAATTTAACCAAATGTATGTTCGAAAGTTCATTAATGTTCGATTCGGTAGTCCTATTAATTGAACTTATTGAAATATTACTTAAAGTTCAAGAAGTGGAGATAGTCAATTGTGTGGAAAATTGAGCAAATATTTACTAAATTATACAGAAAAAGCTCTATTCCTCTTCGCGACCTGATCTTCATATCCTAATTAGGATGGTGTGCTTATTAGTAATAAAAAAAAAGTAAGCTCAATATAAATCTATTGTACCATATGAAAAAGTCCTAAAATCTTTGAGAGAAAGCTCAAAGGTTGTTTTGATAATTGCATTCAATTGTATGAGATGTTATAAAGCTAAAAGGCTGTATAATTATTCATATTTAATTTCACATAAAATGAATAATTGTATAACTACAAATACAATTGTCTGGTCTTTTTTTTCATGTTTCTTACACGCAGTGAGCCTTTTGAATGTTGCTTCAACAAAATAGACAATTTTGTCGAGCATAAAACTTTGATTACAAAGATTCCTCCAAAAACTTACATAAAATGTTACTTAATAATAAATTTTTTCAATTGAACACTACGTGTAACTGCAAATACAAATAGCGGTATTAGTTTTTCATAATTAAAGGGGAAAAACAATATATATTTGGTTATGATAGTTTTATAATTATCATAACAACTCAAAATTTTGCATAAATAAAAAACACAATAAAAAATAGTAGATGAAAATTAACAAAGAAATGGGAAAAACTAAAAAACAGGTTAGTATTCCTTATACATATTTATAAGGTTAGCACTATTCTACATAAAAATATAAAGAACCACACTATCATCTATTTGTTTTGCTACATAATGCTAGGCTGCATGTATCTGCATAGAAGCAACATTCATATATCACTATTTACCTCTTTGTTGCTACTCAAATTTATTTTAATAAGGAAAAAATGTTAATATTTGCTGAAATTAATTAGAGCATAAAGCTCAAGACAACTACCATATTAAAAAAATATTTTGTAATTCATCTTCAACCTCTTGATGCAAGTAAGAGAATAGCATGACTAATAAAAATATTTCGCTTCTACTAACATAGCAGAATAACCGTATGAAAAATGCATGATAAATTAGTAAATGTTCAGAATTTGGAAGTAAATTGGTTAATAAGAGAGACTTTTTGGGGGCAAATAGTTAGAATCGCTAAACTGCATTTTAGACGACTAACAAAAAGGAAAAAGTGCTCAAATTAACCGTTTATTACCATCTCCTCCATCCTCTTCACTTTGCTCCCTCGAAACCCAAAAAATGAAAAGATAAAAAGGGAGGGGAAAAAAATGAGCTCTGAAGAAACCCCAAATTCTCCTCCTCCATCGCCCTATCTCCTCATCCTCCCTCGTCACGAATCCTTCGAGTACGACCTTCTCCCGATCCCCAACCTCATCTTCAATGACGGAACCCTAACCCTAATCCCTTTGCGAGACAAGCTCCTCTCGGTTTCCCCTCGTGTCGACGCCCAAACCCTAGCCGAAGCCCTCCAGATCTCGATCGGAGACGCAGATCTCGTGATCGAGACTTTGTTCTCGGTTATGCCCTCAGATCCAGGGAATGGGGATGAACGGGGTGTCGATGTTCATGATCTCCTGGTGTTTTTGTACGTGCAGGGCTATAAGAGGCTTGTTACCAGGCCGCATAAGGATGCGTCGACTGTTGCTAATGTTTGGCCGTTGATGTCGGTGTTCAATGGGTGCTTGTCGGTATTGTCTCCGTGACAGGTTAGGATATTTGCTTTTATTGGGAATGTTTTCAAGTTTGGATTGAATGCTTATAATTTGTTCTCAGAGGAATGTGTTTTATTTCAGAGATATGGGGGAGCAGTTGCTTAAGGGAGCAGTTGGCTTAGACGTGGGCGTTACCGAAGTTTCTGTAAAAAAAAATCTGTTTTTAAAAATAAAATGGGTTTTTAAAGTAGTTGCTTAAAATAGTTCTTTTAGAAGTGGGGAATGAGAGAGAGAGAGAGAGAGGGAGAGAGAGAACGTGGGTCGGGTCGGTATGAGGTGGAGGTGTGGTGGTTTTCCAAAAAAAATACAGAGAGGTCAGGGAGGGAGGGAGAACGTGGTAAAAGTGGGAACTTTGGGTTGGTTATTCATTTTATTTTTTTGATTGTTCACAAACTTTGGCTATTGTTCATTTAAGCTTTTTTTTCTTCTCCTTTAATAATAAAGAAGTAGATATCGTCTAAATTTTTGTGTGACTTCTTTTCTTTATATTTATTTCTTCAGAGAACCATTTGCGTGCTTCTCTTAAATTTTTTGTGCATTTATTATGTAGCAAAGCTGCTATGCTAATCATTTTTGCTGTAACAAAAAAGTTGACTTTGTTTCCCTCGAATTCCCGTGCATTACATGTAGCAACAAACTATCATATTAATTATCATACGCGACTCGGACCAACACAAAAACGTTCACGGATGCTTCAAACATTCTTATGGCTACATTTTCCTCCACAAAATGAGTATTCTAAGTATATGCCCCTAATGAACAAGGTTTATAAAAGAATTTTTAAGATAAAGGATGTTAGATCTACATCATAAACTTTAGATCTAAAACCATATAGTCATGATTAATTCAAAGAGATTAACAAGGATCTAAAAGAGCGGAAGCTTATCATGATTAATTCAAAGAGATTAACAAGGATCTAAAAGAGCGGAAGCTTATACCTGAATCCATGGATGAAAACTTGATTTGGGTTTTTGATGATCTTCTAACCTTAGGGTTTCTCCAAATCCGAATTTCTCTATCTAGATGGGGGTGTAGAGAATTAGAGAATGTTACCCTAAATTAGGGACCATAACCCCTTATTTATAGATGTTGTACTTTTGTAATTTAGCCCCTCAATAAATTACAATTACAACCTGGTATCTGCACATATAACCCCATGACTTATTTAAATACCAAATTAACTCAACTTAATTGATCACTTTAGTGGGTTATCCTGAAAGATAGCAATACACATTGATTAATCATATGTGCCCACAAATAGATTTATTAGATTAAATCCAACAAAGGACACAATAAAATCATGCTATTCAAAATAGCTACACCATTCAAATATGAAACGCTCATAAAGATTCAATATTTAAACTTATCACTACTAGCAATATGACATAGTATGAAATTTTACGCATGTATCCAGATGAAGCTTTGAGTTTTAAATTTGAAGACATATCCACGTACGAATCATACGAAGCTATTTTTTCGATACAAACGTAATCGAAGCGTCAAGAAAATGAATGATACCAGCTTTTTTTCAGTTCTTTTTGTAAAGGGCAAAATCCCAACATGCTGAGAAATCCACCTATCGTAATATGGAAAAACTCGGCCCAAGCCCAATAAAAAAAGCCCACTTCTCTCTGAACTCAAAAAACGAAATCTTTAGCCCTAAAACCTCTCTTCAAGCTACAAAACCTCTACCTTTCTCAATCCGCCGCCTCTTTTCTCCCCTCAAAGCTTCATTTTTATGAAATCGAACCCTAAGAATTGAGCACGACGGCGATCCTAAGACCCTCGCTCTGCCCTCCAATGGACAAGCTCATGATCTATCGTACGAATTTCGTGGAATGGAAACCGTCGCCCGTGGTCGCGCTCG